GTTGTGGAGGTCTTCCCACCTCCGTGTGTGACAGGGCTTGTTGGAGGTCTTCCCACCACTGTGTGTGACAGGGCTTGTTGGAAGTCTTCCCACCTCCATGTGTGACAGGATTCATTGTGGAGGTCTTCTCACTACTGTGTGTGACAGGGTTTGTTGGAGGTCTTTCCACCACCGTGTGTGATAGGGTTTGTTGTGGGGGGTCTTCCCACCTCTGTGTGTGACAGGGCTTGTTGGAGGTCTTCCCACTTCTGTGTGTGACAGGGTTTGTTGTGGGGGCCTTCCCACCTCTGTGTGTGACAGGGTTTGTTGTGGAGGTCTTCCCACCTCCATGTGTGGCAGGGTTCACTGTGGAGGTCTTCCCACCTCCATGTGTGGCAGGGTTCGTTGGACATCTTCCCATCTCTGTGTGTGACAGGGTTTGTTGTGGGGGGGTCTTCCCACCTCCGTGTGTGACAGAGCTTGTTGGAGGTCTTCCCAACTAACTCTTTTGATCTGTTTTCTTTTATAGACACTGAGCATGGGATTGTATTTCTGTTATTTCTTAGCTTCTCAAAATGCAGTTTAGGTAAAAATCTACTGAATTAATAAGGGGAGAAATTAAGAGATATCGTAGTGCTGTATGGTGTGATATGTTGCAATAGAAAGTATGTGACTGCTGGACCCTGAAAATTGGCTGGTCCAGATGCAGAGGTGCCACAAATGTAAAATACACTTAGGATTGAAGAGATTCAGTAGAAAGCAATCAATTTCACTGTCTCGATAATTTTTATAGTGATTACATATAAAATGCTTTTGATATATTGTGTTAAATAAAATATCTTATCAAAGTTAATTTTAAATATTTAGTTTTTAAATGTGGTTACAACAAAATTTAAACTTATACAGGGTGGATATAAAATTTGTATTCAATTTACTATGTTAAACTATTTTAAATTACACATCAACTTTGTGTCCACCTGTATGTGTTGCTCATGTTACAGATTTATTGGGCAGTGGTGCTTTAGAGAATCACAAGATATATTGGCATGTTTAAGGCTTTAAAATATCCTACAACCAAGAAAAACTGCTTAACTTAAAAAGGACTTATGTGACAAAGTAGTTTGGTCCTAGAACATCTATTAATCTCTAACGATAGAGGGTACTCAGGGTTAATTTTTAGGAAATTACAGTCTAGAATAAACATTTACTAAGACTAGAATTTGCTAGCCTTAAATTAAATTGATGGTGTGATTCTTTTTATTTTTCTTAAAATTTCAAACACTTCTACTTCATTATGTGATTTTTATTGGTTAATAGTAAATGGAGAGCAGTGTTTTTGCTCTACATTTTCCTACCTTCTGAAAGGTTACATTGCATGGTGAGAAAATCATGTATTTATTATACAGTCTATTTCCAGTTAATTGAATCTTCCAGCTCGTAACCAGAAAGCCATACTACTCCATAATGATGAAGCATCGCTCCATCTCGACCTGTTTCTGAAGGCAAACCCCCCTCCTCCCTGCCCAGACTGCCACAATTTCCTATTTAATCAGCTTCCCTACTGCCACTTTTAGCTCTCTCCAATTTACATACATATTTCAGGGTGATTTTTTATACAAAAACCATCAAATTGCTTTCTTGCTTAAAATTATTCAGTGGCTTCCTGCTGCATATAGAACAAAAAAAATCTGAAATCCTTAGTAGGGCCTATCTGATCATCAGACTGTTTCTCTTCCTAACTTGATCCCAGAAACTACATTGGCTTTCCTCCATTCCTCAAGACTCTTTTCATTTTCAGGACTATCCATCTGCCTTGTTATTTGGACAAGTCTTTACCAGACTCTTGTGACAATTCCAGGCCTCTCCTCTTGATCAGATTGGCAAATTTCCAGACCACTATATTCTTCCTTCTCTTGGTGAGACACATTTCCTTCCTAGCCAAGAGTTGCTCAGGGTGTAATCTTAATTCACAGTCTAGGAAACCTTATCCCATGTCACCACCATCCACCCAGTAAGTCCTTCATGGTCTCTCATCTTCCTTTCCCTTCTCATGTCTCATTTCTGGTCTTTACGAGTTTCTTGGCTAAGACTTCATAGACATAAACTACTTTCCAGGATCCCTGAAGAAATAGTGTCAGCCCTCACCTCAAATCAGCAATATGAATTGTAGCTGATTGAACTAGTCGGTCAGACTAGACGTTTGCCTATTTTGATGTGAACTGGAGAGGAGAGTTAAGCTCTTTTCTATCAAGCTTAGAAGAGAGGATATAACTCTGGATGCAGTATAGTCTAGGAAAAGTATCAGCAGTTAGGCACAATAAAGGAATTCCACTCATCACAACCTGGATATTTCTCTAAACTTTTGCTTTGGGTTTGCAATATTCCTGAAGAGTTATGAGAAAACTGCAGTGATCAATGTGTGGAAAGTTTGGGGTTGATGCTAAGAAAATGATTGGACCTTTGAGAATGTTGCAGATAATTAATCAATTCATATCAGGTTCAGGTACTGGGGAGAAAGTTCTATTATTACCTTTAGAGGAACCCTTCAAAAGAGATAAAGAAAAGGGATTGCAGAAATATTTATCCTCCCTGATATCAGGATATTGACCTATTATGATAAGATTTCTATTTCATGCAATGTACCCTATCTGCTTGGTTGGAAAATGTACATTTTGTTTTTTTATTATATCCATTGTCAAATCATAGCAGAGTGAAGTGTTAACGTGATAAATGGAGTTCAGTGCTTAATTCTGTCTCCTTTCCTTTGGAAATGTGTTAGTTGAGTCTGTATCAGGTGTGTTTTTACACGCTTGGCTTGGTAACCTCTCTTCCTCCCCCTATATTGTCTGGAATTTGCTCTCAAGATAAGGCAGATTGCAAACCTGGCTCATTGGCAGCCAATCAGAAGAACTTTATGTGAGAACTCCTTTCAAGAAGGTACACTCAGCATAAACAAAATTTTGGAAAAAGTGGAAGCAAAGGTTGAAAAATATGGTTGAAATTGCTACAAACAATTGGTGCTTTAATACTATCGTATTTCATTTCCAATGTAAAAAATCTATCTTTTCCTTTAGAGAAACATCCAATCAAAGATTTATCATAAATTCTCATTGTTTACCCAAAAAAATTTGGTAAAAAGTTTTGGTAGATATTTTTTGCACTATCTACTCCGTGGTAAATATCTAGGTAATTCGATAAATAGTTTATACTTACTATGTTTTAACATGATCAATTTTTCAATGAGAGCACAAGTTTTCAAAAACAATCTCACTAATTATCAACCAACTAATTATCATGCAAGAAACAAATACATACATTAGTGTGTAATATTTTTATAATTATACTTAAAAACTATATATAAACTGATGTATGACTTTTGCTAATTCTGCGTGCCTGACCTCCAAGTATAATCATTTGTTACTGATTAGAGAGCATTTGAAGGATGCTTTCTAGCAGAATGATTATTTTTAAATGTGGCTCTTAAAATATTGACTTATTTTTTCCTTTGAGACTTCATGAGAATAACTATTTTCAATCTCTATTTTTCAATATTCAACCAGGGAAACAGAAAGCCTACAATATTTCTGCACATTCCTCTTCTCTGTGCTGGAGCCTGTTCTCCGGCCATGTGGAAAGGTATCGCAGGGATCTTGTTCCTGAGAGTGGCTTTGTTACTATCAGAGATCTTGGAGGTGGAGAATATCAGGTATAGTTTTCATTACTTGCTGAGCCTCCTTGTATTTATATTTGGTGCTAATAAGAAAGTTCTTTATGAAACTCATCCACCATGCAAACTTATTCCTTGGAGGGTTTTTAAAAGCCTAAGATGAAGACAGAATCATTAATGTCAAATTGATGAGTTTAAGTTTCAGCATCAGTGGACTGTTACCTTAGCAACGTCTATGCTTTTTTTTTTTTTTAAGTTTACCCTGAACCTACGGCCATCCATCCAAGGGTTCATGAATAGTTTAACAAAGAAAGGGCAGAGCTATTGAGTAATCCAGGCTCATTAATTGTGTACTTGCCAGGAGGATCTGTCTTTAAATCATTAATGCAGGCAACATTTCTCTCTAGAGCCATCAATGTGATTCTACTGCCTGAAAAATGTAATAATGATGGATTTTCTTATCGTTTTTCTTTTACTTTTTATTGGGACTTCAGAGACACAGGTATTTCATCTATACTCTTTAAAAATAAGGGATAATCAATGGGCTGTAGATTTCTTAAGATTCAAATAGTTATTACTTGTGACAAGGACATAGCATAAATAGAAAACTGACTTAGGCTTTGATGGTGCAGTAGGTTTTGTAAATTTTTATTTATTTCGTAAGTTATCTGGTCAATAGTTACATGGTATAACGAAGTTGAAATTTACAATACTATGGAAACCTTGTGACATTTTAAACAGTGTAGAGTTACCTATCGAAGTGTAAATTTTGTTTGTTGTTAGTAAAAGTTTAATTCTTTTAAGGCAATCATTTGTTTTGGTGTTCTAGGTTGATGTTTCCAGTGCTGTTCCTGGTACTGGGTATGAAGTAACCATCTCTTCAACTTCTGCTACGACATACAGCTCACCGGTCAGTAGAACAGCCACTACGAATGTAACAAGTGAGCATTTATGTTTTAAATTACTTTTTAAATAAGGTATTTGGAGACATTATACTTCAGTTGGATAGAAATAGTTATATTGGCAATTACGTACGTTATATGCATGAAAACAGTATAGAATGAAAGCAAAGTGGAAACTTAAGAAAGTGATCTGCTTACCACTTGAGTTCTCCCCGGTTTTTCTTAGCTTCTTGTATTTTCAAAGTGAAAGGTAATTACACTATAGTTGTTTTTCAGATGGATCAAAGAGACTTTTAACGATAATATTTAATCCAGAACTATGAAAATAAATTCACTGCATTCACTTAGGAAGGATTATTCAGCTTGGAAGATGGTTTCTTATTTTCTCAGTCTGTGTGTGTAAACTTGCATTAAGTTTCTTTTAAAAACGACTTGGCATCAAAAGTATATTTGGCACGTAGTATTCAGTACCATTTTCATATTTTACATTCTTATAAAAGAATGTTTTTGGTATTCCCTAAGTACTTAATCTTTTTTATTTTTTTGGTAGCAGAGCTCTGGGGAGTATAAACTCCTTAGTTCGGGGGAACTGCAGGAGTTTATATTTGTAAATACTTTTCTTACATGTTTTTGTGAAACTATAACAACTGGCCTTTTAACAAAATGATTTTTTATTTTTAAAATAGAACCAGGGCCTCCCATCTTCTTAGCAGGAGAAAGAGTCGGATCTGCTGGGATTCTTCTCTCTTGGAATACGCCACCTAATCCAAATGGAAAGATTATATCCTACATTGTTAAATATAAGGAAGTTTGCCCATGGATGCAAACAGCATATACACAAGTTAGAGCAAAGCCTGACAGTCTGGAAGTTCTTCTTACTAATCTAAATCCTGGAACAACGTATGAAATTAAGGTAATTGTTTTTCCCACTTGGCTAGGCCTTTTAACCTGTATACAATAGATAACTAAAAAATGATGAACTGAGTCATGGTCTCATACTCACTGGGAATGTGAAACTTGGTCAAATGTTACAATCTCTTCTTCATTTCGATTTTATGTATAGTAATATGTTATCTATTTTAAAAATCTTTAGTTTCATGACCTTTTGGAAAATAATAGTATCTGTTCTCATCAGCTTAATAAATCAGATTTAAATTAAATAATAAGGCTTCATAAGTGACAATATTCCACTTTTTGATTAAGCTTAAAGTTCGCTGTATTATTTTTCTCCCAACCCTGTTGTATCTGCATATCTGTTATTTCACTTTGGTACGATGGCATGAACAATTTTAAAGTGTCAGTTTTGGCTAGGAATAATGATCAATTTATTTGATTCATTTGTTGATCCATTCAACAAATATTTCTTGAGGATTTACTATGTCTTTTGTGATTCTAAAAACTTTTGGAATGTTAAATATGCAAAATTTAATAACATTTTATTTGAATACTAAAGTAAGCACTTCTATAAAGAGGTCCTAAATTAGCTAAACCACAGGAAAATGTTTCCAATTATTAGGTGATATTGATGACATTTCCAAGGGACAATAATAAATGCAGATATCTTGTGGCTCTTCTCAGAATAATATCAACATGTTCTTTAAGCCTTGAAGATAATTATATAGAGAGAAGAAAATCCATAATATTGCATATATATGTGATTATATATAACTAAGAAGCCCTTAATAGATGATAAGAAGTATTGAGAAAGAGAGGTTTTGCCAGGAAGTTCTTTTGGACTGGAGGTTGCCTATTTGTTTTTTTTTTTTTTTTTGGCCTTGGCTGGGTTTGAACCGATCACCTCCGTACTATGGGACTGTGACCCTACTCCTCAAGTCACAGGCACTGCCCAAGGTTGCCTATTTGTAGAATAAAGAGCACGATCAGAACAGGGAAACACACACCAATACCAGCGTTGCCATAATGCAAAAAGGAAAAAAAAGCCCAAACTTTCACTTGTGCATAAGTCAAAATAAAAGATCTATGATAGCTATTTCATGAAGAAACATAGGTTAAAGATTCCATATTCTGGAATCTGAAAATGTACATAACATGGATGTTTTCCATAAACATGCACATATTCAGATTAAGTCATGTGTTAAAATATGCTACTGCGGATAATAAATAAAGACTAAATTTTAATGTGTTGTGAGAAACTACCAACCTAGTTCTCCTTCGCTTTATTTTTGCAGAGTTTGACTTTTTATTCCTTTGGATTTTCTTATTTCAGGCCTATTGGGGAGGCCTCCTCTACCATTCATCTCACACTTTATACATCATTGCTGTGACCTATGCTCTGTTCAAATAAATGTTAGCCATGGACGAATCCCACAGGGCATTGGCATGGTAGAATGTGGTATCTTCAGTCTACATGGTACTACGGGGGAAACCCTGTGGAGTGTTTGACATGTATTACTTTGTTTAGTTCTCAGGATAATTCTATGTTATAGAATATGTTATCATTCCCATCTTAAAGACAAAAATGTAACTTACCCCAATTAAATAAATGGCTTAAAGTTACTAGCTGGGAACCAATCATGCTACAACAAAACCAAGATTGTCTGATTCTAGTCGTGGCATTTTGAGAGTTTTATTCTCATGATCATGGCTCAGTCTCTGTCTATTCTGTTCTATTTAACTAGATTATTCAAGTTGAAAATAATTTTTATATATTTTAAATTCTCAAATTCTTAGTCTCAATTGTTCATTAATCCTATCTTTAAAATAGTTTCACTGAATATTTATTTGTGTGGTTAGATTGTGAATTTTAAAGTCCCTTAGAATAATTGGTCTCTTGCATTCATTACAGAAATAATCATAGTGATTATTATAGTATACAGTGGATTAATTGATTGAGCTTTGGAAATAAACACAACTACAGCTGAATTCTTGTTGTACCATTTATTTCTGTGTGACCCTGGTCACAGTATTTGACGTTCCTCAACCCAGTTTTCTCATCTGTAAAATATTGACAATAATACCTTTATGTTTTGATTAGATGAATAGGTCTGAATTTGCCTTCTTCAATTATCTGAATTGAAAGAAAATAGCATCTTTCTCATTTACCCTATGAAGAAGTCAAAGTTTTATTATTTCAGATTACGTTTAAGGAGGAAGTAAAATATTTGAGCGTATATATATACTTAAATATTTATCTATATATTTGTCTATTCCAGGTTGCTGCTGAAAACAGTGCTGGCATTGGAGTGTTTAGTGACCCATTTCTTTTCCAAACTGCAGAAAGTGGTAATTTTCCTAAGTCATTTATTCTAAATTAATTTTCTCATGAGTTTTTATCATTAAAATAAATAAGGATATAAACAAAATCTGATACTAAAATATATAAAATTCTCAGCAGAATGGCCACTCAATTACTTTTTGAATCCTTTGGGATAGTTACACTGTGTATACATATATATTTTATATATACTGGGTGCCAAAAATATATACATATTTTAAATAATCTTGTTGGAAGTAAAACTGATCATTCCCCTAAAGTATAAATTGCAGGTAAAATGGATATGTAAGGCATGCCTAGGTGTGTTTGACCAGTAATGGTACCTATGATTCAACTAGTAAAAGTAATATACAGATAACATCTCTTAAAATGTCTATACATTTTTGGTACCCTCTGTGTATATATATATCAAAATATATAATAATATTTATTAGGATATATAATAATACATATTAAAATATATATTATTGTTTCTAATTATAAAAGTAGTATGTGAACAAGAAACACATAATGAAATTATCCATTGACTTTGTCATGTAAAAATCTCTTACCATTTTCTGGTTGGGCTATTTCTCCCCAATGAATGTAGGTCAATGTGACTTAATTAATAAAAATAAGCTTGAACCACGTGTGCAAGTTTATATCCTGCATTTTCCTCTTAACATCAACTCATAAGGGTTTTGTAACATTAGACTCTTGGAGATATGGATTTTTATGATTATTGTATTATTCCATCACATGCAGGCATTACCAAACTAAACAACCCCCTCTTCTTTTCTTCGGAGGAAAAATCTTGCTGTCATCCTTGAATTTTCTCTTTCATATTATACATCTAATCTATCAGCAGATCCTGCCAGCTCCATCATCAAAATATATCCCGAATCTCACCCTCATTGCTAATCATCCTATCCAACAGCATTCCCCGTAACTGCTGGGTTTATTTTTTTTCATTACAATGCAGCTACCCTGACGTTTCCTAACTACTCCCTCGTATCATGTGCACACAGCTCTCCTTCCCAGGACCTCACTTTCTCAAATAATTTATACAACTTTCATTTACAATTTGTATTTTGATGTTCTTCTGCACCATGTGAGCCTAAACTCCAGTGATTCAGCACTTTAATACCTGGAATCGCTTATTTTGTTTTATCTCGAACATTTTGTTTTATTTTGATTTTTTTCAAAGGGAATTTCTTATGTTTGTTTTCTATTCTAGAGGATATTGTTAGTTTACTTCATCAGTTTTCATATCTTACCATGACATTAATGTACATTTTTTTTCATTCTGGGTTTCTGTCACTCTCATATCAACTAAAATAGGACTCAGATTATTATTATCATTATAGATGATTAATGATTGGGAGCAAAGTATGATGAAAATCTGAAGAAAGTTGATTTTCAGGGTGTATGTACGAAACTCAAAATGCAATAATTGCAAGCTGTTTGGTGGATATCCCTTTGATATCAGGCACTAGAATGTTTATAAACATTTCAGAAATGTGCTTTTTGGTGCAAATGGATGGATAATTGTTTCAATTGGCTCCTTTGTTCATATCTAATGAAGCGACATAATTCCAAAATATTCAAAGGACAAATGTGTCCCAACTTGTTTGTATATTCACAAACAGCTACTAATTTAAGTATGTTTCATACTTATATGAAGTGTTTCATCAATGCCTATATTAGCCCAGTTATCCTGAAGAAAAGCTGATTTTTCTCAACTATAATCTTTTAATTTAAGCAAAGGCCAATTAAATATTCTTTTAAGATCTCACATAAATAGCTTTTTTTTTTTTTTTTCTTGTCTTGTTGTCCTCGGTAGAGTGTCATGGCGTCCACAGCTCACAGCAACCTCCAGCTCTTGGGCTTAGGCGATTCTCTTGCCTCAGCCTCCTGAGTAACTGGGACCACAGGTGCCGCCACAATGCCGGACCATCTCCTTGTTGCAGTTTGGGAGTGGCCGGGCCCAAACCTGCCACACTTGGCACATGGGGCTGGCGCCCTACCCACTGGGCCACAGGCGCCACCCACATAAATAGCTTTTATGCACTGTGTTGTACATTTAATTTCACATATCAGAGAAATTTTAACATCCCCAAATTATATAAATGCCATTACAATTTCATTAACTGGTCTTCTCTTTCCAATCCTCTTTTCTCCAGCTCCAGGAAAAGTGGTGAATCTCACAGTTGAGGCCTTCAACTATTCAGCGGTAAACCTGATTTGGTATTTACCTCAGCAACCAAACGGCAAAATTACCAGCTTCAAGATTAGTGTCAAGCATGCCAGAAGTGGAATAGTAGTGAAAGATGTCTCCATCAGAGTAGAGGACATTTTGACTGGAAAATTGCCCGAATGTAATGTAAGTATCATGGAACAGTTTCTATGCCTCAAAAATGTTAGGTAAACGTATGATGTCAAATTTCTAGCGTCTAGATACTATTCATCTTATCAAAGTGGTTATTACTTATTTGATTACTTATAGTATTGGGTTACAATATCATCTTATACACAATTGGCTTTATTCAGCTTTTGGGAATTCAAAAGTGAGATGTAGCTTCACTTAGGGAGCCCTAGAAGGACTTCATGAATGACTGGCTTTTTATCATAGTCTCTAGTGGAAGGGTGAACAGAGATCGTGTAAGGACAGAATTTGAGGTAGAGGATACTTACAAAGCCCTGAGGTGGAAAAATGTGAAGTGTAAGCAGAGAAAAGAGAATAATTTTACGTGACAGGAAGGGCGGGGACATGCAGATTGAATAATCAAGGTGAAATTTGCAGAGGTAGAGTTTTTTTTTTTTTTTTTGTGCGTATCTTTGATGAAGAGTTTGTTGTTTTTCTTCTCATTGATGGGAAACCTTGGAAAGTACTGTAATAATAATTTTCCTGAAATTATTTTGGCAACATATGTATTACTATTGATGGAAAACAGTCAAACTGTTAACAAAATACTATACACTATACACTGTATATTTATAATACTATAACTATACACTGTTATACACTATAACAAAATACTATAAACTATAAACAAAATACTTTCGTTTATAGAGGTCTCAAATTCTTAATTTTTGAAATTAGTATATATTTTGAATGCACGCAATTGCACGTATGTGCACAGACACTTACACGTGTACCAATAGCATTATCTTTTGAGTATTGATGAGGAAAAAAGTGATGGTAACCGTGAGAAAATGGCTTTTGTTTGGAATTTCATAAAAGCAAAATTATTTTAGCTCTTTGGCTCTTGCACTATTAACATGAATTAAAAAAAATTCTAACTAACGATTTTACTGTAGTTGTACATTTACTTTAAGCCTCTTGAAATTCAGCTTATGAAAACGATTAAGATAAAAAGAATACAATAAATATATTCTGCTTTAAAACTGTAGCACATATGGGCATAATTAAAATCCAGGAAATTTGTCCATAACTTAATGTGTTATGATATTACACTACTAACGCCCACCCATACACACAATTGAAGAATATTTGAGCACAAAGGAAAAAGAAATTAGTTACACTTCTCATATTTACCAAGACATAGAACATTATTTTTTCACTGACATTTATTTTATTTACTAGGAAAATAATGAATCTTTTTTATGGAGTACGACCAGCCCTTCTCCAACTCTGGGCAGAGCGACGCCCCCATCGCGTACCCCTTACTCATCCAGCGCAGTGGTGCAGAGCAAGATCAGCTCTGTGTGGAAAGAGCCTATCAGTTTTGTAGTGACACATCTGAGACCTTACACGACGTATCTCTTTGAAGTTTCGGCTGTTACAACGGAAGCAGGTTATATTGATAGTACCATTGTCAGAACACCAGAATCAGGTATGGGTTTATTTTTTATTAGATAAAAAACTTAAAGTATTTATAGAATAATCTCTCATTTTATCCAAATAGATCATTGTATGAGTCTTTCTTATGTTTCAGTAACCTCCCTCCCCCACCTTGTAATGCATACGAGGCTGTCTCATCTGGGCTATTTTCAGAGAGCTATGCTTTTTTGTACCATGATACTAAAATAAGTATCTCAAAGGAGAAAGCAGATTTGAAAGAAAGGATTCTTGAGCCTCAAACACTGATTCTAAAACCAGCTTTGTTTTTATTTTCTAATCCTAACAATTTTCTGTAATCGTATCTGCCATTCTAAATCATCTGCCATCACGTAGCCCCTTCTCCCACTGCCACTGTTATTACCACATGTGGCAGTGACATCGGCAACAGTGGACTGTGGATGAGATTAACATTCAGCACCAGATGAAAGCGGTCCCTAACATAGGTCCCGTGGAGCCTCTTTGCCCTGACGTTTTCCTCATCTGACAATTAAACACAATAATAGTACTTTGCTTATGGTGGTGGTGTTAAAATTAAGTAAGAGTAATTACATATTACTATGACTATCAAATTATAAAAATATATATTTCTAGGTACGGGTACTTTTATATTTGATTATAGTACTGTATCAGCATTCATGTAAACCTATATTTATCTATCTGCATTTCGTGTTCATATAAAATTTATGGGTATTGATATGGGACCATGATACAGCAGGTTTCTATTTTGTGTATGTATTATATGCAGAAGATATCCCTGAGATGTTATGTATGTTATAATATAGTATCAAGAGTTTACTTGTGATGGCTAATGTTTGAGGATACTTAAAACAATCACTATGGTACTTTCACTGAAGCATGGGATTATGTTTGCCAATGATATAACTGTCAGCTACCATTATTCTTTGTGACATATAAGTTTGAAGGTTTTTCTTTTGATTTGAATAAGCATCTCTGAATTCTGCTTTTCCTTCTTCCCTACGCTTTTCTTCTTATACAATAAAAAGGAAATAATCTCATAAAAAGGCATAAAAAGGGAAATTGGTAGACAATAATTTTTTTTGAAAAAAATTTGGAATAGCTTCATTTCAGTTAAAAAAAGTAACATGTAGATGCACATCTATGACAAATAGACTACTCTTAATTGACATTGTTATTTTCATGTGTTACTAATGTTACATTTAAATATTTTTTTTTTTTTTTTTTTGAGACAGAGACTCAAGCTGTCCCCCTAGGTAGAGTGCTGTGGCATCAAAGCTCAGAGCAACCTCCAACTCCTGGGCTCAAGCGAGTCTCCTGCCTCAGCCTCCCAAGTAGCTGGGACTACAGGCATCTGCCACAATGCCCGGCTATTTTTTGGTTGCAGCCATCATTGTTGCTTGGCGGGCCCAGGCTGGATTCTAACCCACCACCTTAGGTGTATGTGGCTGGTGCCTTAGCCACTTGAGCCACAGGCGCTGAGCCACATTTAAATATTCTAACTGTAGATTATAAATTTCACCTCAGAACAAAATATAAATAATAATATAAAGAATAAAAGATCATTGCCAATAAATTATGAGGGTTACTTCCTCAACCCTTCTACCTGTGTCTATAAGAGATTGTTTATCATGCCACAAACTTAGACTCCGTGGAATGCAATATATGTGTGTGTACAGGGATAAATGTTCTGGGACGATTTAACATTTACAATGAATATGTCACAATTAAAATAGGACTAAAATTTGAGATGTATAATCATATATAGCATTAAATAAAAGTTTTAATTATTGCACCTAAATTAATCTGATGATCCAGTATGTACTGGATGGATCAATACAATAATGCAAAATATATTCCATTTTTCCTTTTTAAAGTCAAAAAACCTTTGGTACTAATGTGATCTATTATTTTCTTTCTCTGACTTTGCGTTTTTAATGTGCATTTAATAAAATGCTCTTTTATGTTTAATCTATATTACATATTCATTTTTTCCGATCACCATTTTAGTGCCTGAAGGACCCCCACAAAACTGTGTAACAGGCAACGTCACAGGAAAATCCTTTTCAATTTCATGGGACCCTCCAACTATAATAACAGGGAAATTTAGTTACAGAGTTGAATTATATGGACCGTTAGGTAAGTCTTAACTGGTTTTGTGGTAACTTTTTGGAGAGGAATTATAAAATATTTTAGTAACATCAAACCCTTTTTAAAAGAATCTAAGATTGAAGCAATTCACATCAAGGTAAGAAGGAAGGTAAAGATTTTTTTATTTTTTTGTTTAAAACTGTAAGTGAGTATAAGGATGACAAAACATTTTTCACGTTCCATATTCTCTGGAGAATATGAAAGAATTAGAGATAACCCTTTAAGGAAAGAAGTATTAGCAGAGATGTAATCCTTCCAATATTTGAACAAGAGGACTTCCACTTGTATTCATGAAGAACAGTGGGCTTTGATTATATTAAATCAGATTCCATTTAGAATAAGGAATTTATTTCTAATAACTAGAGAGCATGCTCTAAAGATAAGGTGGACAATCTCTGTAACTTCTGCTATATTTTTCTGTGAAACTGATAGTACTCTCAAAAAATGCAGTCTGTTAAAGAAATTAACATGGTCAGCTTCAGAAAGTGAAAATTTCTCCATCTTTGAAAATAAGCAGGACCTAAACATCCGCTTGCTGAAGATATTTGGATGGGTTCAAATAGTATATTATTAGAAATGGATTTAAAAGGCTCTACAATTTGTCCCTGATCTGAGATTCTATGGTTCTATGAAGAAAGTTCAATTCAAATAATTATTAAGTAACATAAACCCACCTATTGTCATTTGGCGGCGGGGGAAGATTTGAGAAAGATACAATGTTTCAGCTAATTTAATTTTGAAATTTCTATATTATGAATCTCGTTAGTAACCGGTTTCTCATCCCTGAGTAATTTATGCTCCTAAAATTATGAAATATTTGCACTTCCCCCTAAGTGATAGTTCTCTCAATTCACCCATCTAATACACAGAAATAGACGTGGATACACAGATACATCTTTCCTGCCTGGTATTATTGTTCAGTATTTCACTGAGGTACTTTTTATATGTGAGGTTGGCTGATAAATCAAGTAAGACTTTTAGCAACTATTGTACATAGCATCATGGAAGTGAGAAGGGATCTTGACAAGAGTGGCATCTGCGGGGTGAATGTCTGATTGAATTGGTTGAAGACAGAATGGGACAAAGGCATTGGAGCCGTGGGTGTAGAAACACTTAGAGCTTCACTGCAAAGTGAAGCAGTGAACAGAAGGGGTAGAGATGGGGGTAAATGGAGTTCTCAGATTTCTTTTTAGTAGGACCATACAAAATGTTTATTTCATGATGGAAATGAGGGCAAAAAGAGAAAAGTTAATGATATAAAAAGGTGAGAATTACTGGAAGGGTGTTTGTGTAGGTAGAAGGCAGATGTTTTGCTCAAATGTGGGGCTGGTTTGAGATAAGAGTACAGATAATGACAGGTTGTAAGACAGAACATTTGGGTGCAAATACTGGCAAATATGTGGCTGTGTTAGCAGGAGTTTGTGGCAGGTATTTCCCACTGTGAGTGTTGGAGGTCTCAGCAAGGAATAGAAAGTCTACTATGATCAGTAGTATGAAGAGCAGAGGGTGATTGGACCATTGGACAGAGGAAGTTCAGTAAGACGCCAGGCATCACTTAGGGCCCATTTGAGGTGTGATCATGAATGAAGTGAACTAATCATGGGTTCCATATTTTTCTCCAGCTCCTTTCAACAAGAGAAGGGGAAGGGAATTGAAGGTTTATGTAAGCCAGTGATTATAATTGACAGTGACATTGAGGCTGGTGAAGAGTGCAAATTTGGCACGGACCAAATAAAACAAAAATGAAATCGGTGGTAAAATTGATGGTTTTGAGGCTCTAGTGGACTTAAAAATTCTTGGTTCAGGATTTTTGAGTTAGTGAACAGGAGACGGGACAAACTGATCTGAGAGAGTTACATGAAATTGAGATTATGAGAGATATGCAGCTACTGGTAATGGCGATATCTAAGTTATGATCAGGCGGGAGTGCTTGAGATAAGTTGTAGCACTAGAATATTTAAAGAGACTTCTGAGAGATTTAAGGCTTATCTCTCACAGTATTAAAATCAGCACAAATTAAGATGGCAACATTGAATCAATAGCTAAACCATGCAGAATGAGAGTAAGTGACCTTGGGATTGGTAGAAGATCCCTACAACAATGAAAGCCAGTGGATGTCTTGGTGACATGGGATTTAAGGGTGCAGACTTTTATAAGGAGGCAGGGGGAGCAGTCTTAAGTGGGGCACCTGCCCTGAAGGTCTACTCTCCCGGGAGTGGTGGGAACAAACAGACTGGCACCGTCTGAGGTGGCAGCAGTGGGAGAGAAGCAGTGTTCTAGGGAGAGAGCCAGTCTGAGCAAGATGGCGAAAGAAATATTCAAGGCACAGTGGAAGATGTTAGGAATTTTGCTGATAGACTAAGGAATTTAGGTCAGAAGCTAAACTAGAAATACTTTCTCAATATATCCTCATATAGAAGATAACAAGACTAACATTTTCATTGAATAAATTTGATTATAAAATATTATTTTTATCTGGATAAAATCTAATGTTTCTCTTTTAAATATGTCAAAAATAAAATGACAATTCAATAGTGCTTTATAATTTAATGCAAATATTTTTAAACTGGACAATTTTCATGTTCTATCATTTTCAGTAAACTGATATCAACGTATTACTAAGCCAAATGTTTAAAATATACTCGCTTTGATATTATAATACATTTGAGTGCATGGGTGAACTCTTGAATTGTTGCCTTTGGCTCTATACTTAAATATGAAAATAATTACATACTTGATTAAAGAAATAACCCATAGTTATCTTTTACTTTTCGCAGGCCGGATTTTGGATAATAGCACAAAAGACCTTAAGTTTGTATTCTCCAACCTAACACCATTTACAGTATATGATGTCTACATTGCGGCTGAAACCAGTGCAGGGATTGGACCCAAGTCAAATCTTTCAATATTCACTCCACCAGATGGTAAGAACTTCTTCGGAGAGTTAACAAGATAGTTTTGAGTTTTATTGAATTGGTAAAACATAATATTAGAAAGAGTTTGGTTTACATTTACTTAATTCAAATCACTACCTAATTCATTGTGAATATATGTTCTTCAGAGCATCAAGCCTATTGCATGCTTCCCAATAAAAGGTTCCCAAGATCCAGCAAGCTTGGAAAATATGATATACGGGTACCAGCCTGATAGAGACTCAAAATAAATTTTAGCAAAACCTCAGGAAATCATAAGATAAAATTGCTTAACCACGTTGTTTAGGGTGGAATTCTTTTTTACTCACAGAATTAGTGTTCAGAAGAATTCCTGTATTTCCAATGCTTACAACAAAATACGTCCAGAGGGATAATCGAAAGTGTATTCTAGACAAGTAAGGATTCCTGGTAGGCATATGATACAAATTTACCAGCATTTACTCTAGTTAGAGAACAATGTTTTCCCCGAGAAACTTTCCTATATGTTTTTATTAAACATCAATGTTTTTAGATGAATAATAAATACCCTTTGAAAAAAATGTTACGATCCCATGTCACCACATGGCTACACTGGACTTGCTAAATATCTGCGTTCTATTTAGGGATTGAAATTATTGAAAAAAGACACGATAATGTCTTACACTATATTAACACTTGAAAAGTTTCAGATTTGGTTTGTGTGGTAGCTAACGTACAGTAATTTACAAGTTAAGTATACACACACACACACACACACACACACACACACAACTAGACTGGGCGTGCACTTATCAGCTATTTCATTTGTGTGTTTGACCATTAGAGGGCAGCAACTATTAGAGAATTTTGCATTTCTCCCCTTCAAAGAAGTAACCCTGGATAATTTGTTGAAAGAACATGAAAATTGTGTTTTCTCTTTTTCAAATAATTTGTGTATAGTTTTAATATATGAGTTAGGAATAAGGACCCCTCATAGGGATAAGGTTCACATTTTTTTTGTATTAACATTTTACCATCGTGTTTCTATCAGAAGAGTCGGACAGTGCGGCTTCTCTACTAGACCTTAAGTTTCTTCTGATTTCCACCTACAAAGTGCCCTCAGGCACTTCCCAGAAAGGCACACAGATTTGTGAAGAGCTTTCAGATACAGAAGCACCCTTGACTCACATTTTCTCTGCCAACCCAATTTACCCACCGATGTCTGTTTTGCTGTAGAATTAAATAACTCCTGAAATGTTATCTTCTTTCAAGTCAGCTAATTTTGGTGCTTCTAACTGAATCCACAGTTCAAGGTTATAGTTTCGTGTCATCATTCTTGGGCTACAGCATTTGACAATAATAGAGAAATGATGATACACACGACACACGCAGTGCCATGTTGTTTGTTTCAGTCATTCGAACCTTCATTTCCCATTATTTTTACATTTTTTATTCACAAAATAAGAAGTCAAGTTTTAAGGCCTTTTCCCGATACATTTAACATGGTCTATTTTTCATACCCAACCGTTTTGAATGGATGACTGTATTTGAGCGATATAAAAGTCAGTTTGCTCTGAGTTTCATCCTATCCCCTTTCTGAGACACTCTTCATAAAAAATATACCCCAATGGCTCTTTGGAGGAGTCTTTTGGCAGCAGGTAAAATCTACTAAGGCCAGAGGAGCATGTTCCTTACACCCCCAGGTCAGGCCTCCTCCGTGGAATTCTCTGGGGGTGGCTCAACCTCAGGAGATGCTTTAGTGGACGGCCCGAGCAATGCAGTAAGTGTGGCTTTCTGCTTCTACAACACTAATTAGTCCTGGTCCCACTAATTAAGACCTTGAAATCAAGGAAACTTTAAACTATAAGAGAACAATCTAATAATTTATTAGAACTGTCTACTTGCAGTTAAAAATTGGTGTCTTAATCCTTTTTCAATTATTAATAAAACGGGGTTCCTGTATTTTATCCTTTTCCATTTATTAATAAAACAGGGTTCCTGCATTCTGATTAAGGTTACTCAATTTATTTTCTTCTCCATATTTAAAAGTAATCTGTAGTCTATTCAAAATAATTAGGGCTAGCTTGCTTCTTTTAAATTAATATCTTAAAACAACCTGGGCTCTAATCAGTCTGCAGATATCGATAGAAAAATGTTGTGCTGCCCTGGTAGAGAGCATGACATGTGTTAGCACATAAAGGAATTTAGATTTCATTTACACTGAGGGCTCATGGGTCAGTCCACTTTGATTAGCAAACAAAATGAACACCCTATGATTACAGCGATTCTCCTATATATTGTCTAAGGTTTCTCTATATATACCTTAATATTTAACTGAGTGTATTTCTGCACAGGCATGAAGAGAAGGTTTTGGAAAATAATGATAACAATCTCCAAGATTACAAAATGATGTCATAGAGTTGCCTATTCTAAAATCAGTGCTACATCATTTTCTTATTTGTATGAGGGTAAAAAACAAATGTTTCAGCCTCCCTTAATAGCTTTTCTGTCGCCAGTGTCACGTATCTTATAATTTTTTTTTTTAAATTTCACGATTTCTTAAAAGGAAAGAAACTATTGAAATTCTTCTCCCCCCCAATTAATAGACTGCGGAAGTGAAGGCTCATGTCCTTAGTGATTTCAACTTGTTGCTTTCTGCAGATGGTAGCAAAATCTTTGGATAAAAACCATGGAGAGCCTGTCAATTTTGGCTTCTTAGGATTTGCTGTGAGCTTAATTTTTCATATATTTTCAAAATGCACTTCTGGAAATTTAATTTGCTATATAATGGCAAAAGATGATTTTCATGTATGGTACTTTCTTCTTCTGATGCTATTTGGCTGCACTTCATTTCCTCTAATAGCTATTCATTTGAAAACTTCAAACAACTTGAAAAAAAAATAATACATAATAATA